TTATGGCAGCCTTTCAGGTATTTGAAGAAAACCCTTAAGTTCCTTTTCCGCAAGCTAAGCACACCCATTTCCATCAGCCTTTCCTTGTATGGCTTGCCTTCCGAGCCCTTTATCATTTTGTCACTCACCTCTGCACCCTCTCTAACTCACCCATATTCTTTTTAAAATATAGAGCCCAGAATTGGACACAATATGCTAGACTCATCTAGCCTAACCATTGCCAAGTAAAGATACAAGATCGTCTCCTATGTTCTGCACCTAATACTCCTATTGATGCGGCCCAAAATCACATTCACTTTTTGTGGAGCTACATCACACTGCAACTTTGTACTGAATCTGCGATCTATCAATATTCGGCCTAGCTCCCTTTTTATACTGTTGCAGCCAAGTGTCACCCATTTTATATTTATGTTTTTGATTATTCTCCACAAGGTGTAGCACCTTGCGTTTGTCAGCGCTGAACTTTATCCTGTTAGCTCCAGCTCAGGTTTCCAATCTGTCATGATCTTTCTGAATTGTACTCTTGTACTCTAATGTGTCTGCAATCCTTTTCTGTTCCATGGCATTTGGAGTTTTGCTCAAGAAGCTCTCTCTTCCAGCATCCAAATAATAAATAAACACATTGAACAGTAGTGGATCCATAATAGGGACTCCAGTCAAAACCTCTTGCCTTTCTGATATGGATTATTTTATAATTACCTTTTGCTTATAGCTAGTAAAACCATATCTGTCTACCTTGTTGTTTTGTTTAGATCACACTTCTCCTATTTGTTTATGGGAAGGTCAAGTGGGACTTTGTCAAAAGGCTTGCTGAAATCCATATACAGCTACTACATCCCCTTCATCCACCCAACTAGGTAACTTATCAAAGAAGGAAATCATGTTTGTTTGGCAATTATTTGTTCTTAGTAAAATCTACGCTGGCTGCTCATGATTAGCCTTTCCTTTAGCAGATACTTACAAATTGACTTCCTTATGATATGCTCCAGTTATTTCCTGGGTATTGAGGTAAGACAATTGATCTATAGTTCCCTGGGTCTTCCTTTTTGCCTTTTTTTAAAGAGGGTTACTACTTTGTCTCTTTTCCAGGCCTCTGGTACCTCTCCTGGCTTTCAAAATTTTGTAATTATTATTATCAAGGCCTCCAAGATTTCCTCTGTCAGTTCCTCTAGTATTGGGGAATGAAGTTATATCAGGCCCCGCTGACTTGTATTAATTCAGACCCATAAAAATCTCTCTGAGTGTTACTGTTATCTCATCCCTCAGGTTGTCCCCTTGTTCTTTCAAATAAACCTCTTTAGCTCTTTGTGCTCTGCTTAAGTTCCCCATAAAGAATGAGATGAAGTAGGTGTTGCACAGCTCTGCTTTCTTTGCATTTTCTGTTAGGACTTTTCCCTGTCTATTTAAACAGTGGACCCACAGCTTCCTTTTCTCCACAACATATTTACAGATCCTCTTCATGTTGTTTTTAACTTTGCTTGTCAGGTGAAGCTCATTTTTCACCTTAGCCCTCCTGATTTTGTTCCTGCAAGTTTTTGTTATTCCCTCGTATATTTCCTTAGTGACCTGCCAATATTTCCACTGCCTTTTGCATTTGGGGCATCCAACAAGCTTCTTATGCAACCATGCTGGTCTCTTGACATTCTTCTTCTGCTTCCATCATGGTGGAATAGCTTCTTGTTGGGCTTCCAATCCCCTGGGCCCCTTCAACCTTCAGTCTATCTTCCCATGGCACCATTTTAAAGGAAAAAGGGCAACACACCAAATTTAATTTTTTTTAATCATCATGAGATTACTTCAGGAAATACTTCCCTATATATACGCACATTTTTCAAATAAATGCGCATTTTTCAAATACATTCCATACAACTACTTGCATCTCATATGAAACTTCTCATTTATAATTCACTAATTAAGAAATATCTAAATTGTGTATGTACATCAATGTATTGTCTTTACATTTAGCATGCAGATCACTAACAGAACGGTTGAAAAGGTACTGAAGCCAAGGCAGTTACATACCTCAGCAACTATACAACTTAAACTGTGCAAAAGAACACTATGGCAAAACCTTGGAGATTTAAGTGATAATATTAGATCAGAAACAGAGGTCATAGCTGACCTATAACCAGGAGTGTTCTGGAGCAGTGCCCTAGTATCAGGTAAATCTGAAGATGAGAAGAGATTCATTTCTTAGACTTTTCATGGCCCTATATGAAGAATCAACTGTGTATTCACCCATGTCATTCTTTAGATGAGTGTTTACTTCTTTTAGCATGGCTCCTTGGGCCTGTACCTTTAGGGGTAGACAGTTTGGCCGTGTGACTCAACTTTGGGAGTGCCAAATGGTCTCCTGCCATGACTTTGATATTGAAATTTGTTGCTGATGGAAGGAAGGTCTTTTATCTCCTGACCACAGCACTCCATCTGCCTAGGTGCTGCCTTCTGGGGCTCCACCTAATGCCAACCAGCCTGCCTAATGCCAACCAGCTGTTGGAGTCCCAATAAGGTAAGGAAGATCTCACAGTCTTTTCATGGTCCCCTCACTAGAGGGTCCATAAAATGTCTGTTGAACTCTTAGGGTAATTCAGCCCTGCTGGTCCAGCTCTCTCTCTTCTTGCACCTCATGCATCATCCATCATAAAAGTCCTCTTATTGGCTCACTTTCCACAGACAAAAGAGGGCGTAAACTACATAACAACATGTCACACTCCCCTTTTTACTCATATGTTGGATTATTCTCTCTCACACTCTTTTCCTACAGGATCCTCATTGCCTATCAGCCAGCTGTCTCTCTGAGGTGTCCACTCAGCTCCTCTGGGTAAGTCTGTAGGCTCCTCTGAGCCTTCACCCATGGGAAGCAGTTCTGGATCCCATCATTTGCCCCTCCTGGGGCAATCCATGCCAGGATGCGGATCTCTGCTGCTTCAAGCATGCACTTCTGGTCCCCTCTTTGCAGGTTCCCGGTCAGCTTTTATCTAGACCCCCAGCACCCCTGCCCTCCTAGAAGCTTTTATCTGGGTGTTTAAGTTCCGCCCTGCCAATCGGAGCCAGCAAGTGCTCCTAAAGTATGCTGGAGCTGGCGGTGTGGTTTTACACACCTGTGTCAGAGTTGACTGGGCTGGTTCTCCTCATTGCTGACAGTAAATCCTTTTTAAAGGTAGTTGTCTTCTGGCTGCCACAGACTGTTATCAAGTTATATTTAGATTAAGAGCACATGAATCCTTCAAGGCCTGGAATCTATACCTTTCTCAAGAGGTGCACTAAGCTCTTTCAGTGCCCGAGGGCAGAGGCGGGGAGTGGGAGGAGGTGGGGGGAATTATATGGATCAGTGGAGAGCTGGGGAGGAGGAAAGGGAGAAAGAAGTCTGTCCCTGCTTGGCTTTCCTCATTCTAGTGGCAGCTGCTAGTAATGCAACTGTTACTGTAGCAGCACAGGCTTGAGCTGCTGCTTCTGGGGGACAGACAATGATGTGGGCTCCCCAAGGGCCACTCCTAGTGCCCTGTTTGCTCCTCTTTCCTCCTCCCTGAGACAGGGCTTTGTATCCTAAGCTAAGCCCCTGCTCCTGGGGGAGATGGCCATATTGGCATCTTCTTTAAGCCAGTGCAAGGGGCTGGTGCTCTGTTCACTTCCCACTAGTTACACTACTGACTTTCTCCTTGTGTAATGGTTCTTAATTCTGAGAAACAGGAAAGGAAAGTTCTCCAGGGCTCTGACTTACCAAAGTGAAGACTGTCAGCTTAGGTTGGAAAGTAACACAAATAACTAGGATATATGCAGGGGTAAATAATTATAAACATATAATTGTTATAATCATCTTCAGGAGGTCACACTAAATGAAATAGGGCCCCTTCTGGGCTTAAAATATATGAACTAAGCACCTAGATATATGACTCTTTTCCAAAATGAGGCAGAAAGAGGAATGGATCTGTTGGATTCATTCCAGTCTTAACTTATCCAAACAAAGGAAAAGAAGAGAAGAATGGTAATATTCAGAATCTGTATATTGCTTAGAAGAATACCAATTCAAGTGCTTGAATCATTTTATGAGTCTATCATCTTCTGACTGACTCTGCAGACTCCTCCTGTAGCTCCTGGGGACATAAATGATGGAACCAAAGTCTCCTGAAAATCCAAACCTAATCTTTTCTTTGGGACCCCAATCCAAAATCAGTTCTGAATGAACTTGTCTCAGGCTGAGAGAGTGAGAAGACAAGCCTTCTCTTCTTCAAGATGACATAATATTTGTTTCTATTTTCTGGTTCTTCCAGGCCCAATGGGTAAATGTTATGTAGGTCAGGCATATATGAGGGGGAATGGTGGAAGATCATTCAAAAATACTTAGAATTTCTCTGAAATATTATAGCATTGATTACGACAGTGAAAAAAAGGGAAAATAAGGAGGTTGGGGAAGGCTTTTATAGTTACTTTTTAAAACACCTATCCTACGGTCAGCATGTGTATACATCCTACCTGTCACATCACTTAACCTATTTCTGAGAAACGTGAGTCATAAAGCAAAACAATATAAGCAAGAATCTAAAAGGCACAACTATTATATTCTTTACAGGAACCCAAGTCAGCATTCTTCAATCACTGCCTAGGAGCCACAGTCTTCTTTAAGACAACTCTGTATTCACCTAACACCACAGCTTTCCATCTGCCTTCTTATTGTTTGTTATTACCATGTCTTATACCACTAAACTGGCCTTAGACTGCGTATAAGAACTATTGCTGGAAAACAAAAAAGCTATCTGTTTTTCTACAATTCTCTGTATGCTGTGAAAATATTAACATAAAATAAGACCAATGTCAGTGGTTTAGCCAGCAAAATGTTTAAGATTATAGTCCTAACACTTCTGAAACTTTTTTTACATTTAGAAGACAAAAAAGATAGAGTTTAAATAAGAACTTTGCACAGACTTGAAAATTCAAAAAGTTTGAACCCTACAAACATAAGAACATTACCCTCTGTTTTGAGAGAGAAAATTTATACTTACAGAGAGTTGAGTGAACGCAGGCCCTGAAAAGCATCTGGAGCTGCCTCAGAGATCTGATTATTGCTCAGATCACTAAAATAAGAAATGAGGTTACATTAAATTAATTCAAACTCATGCTACAAAAGGTAAATACTGAAATAATATCTGCTTAGCATAGGTGATGTGAGATATTTTAATATTTATTTTGACTTCATGAAAGAAAGGTGAATTCACATATAAAAACACTTGAAACTGCAATATTACAGTGAAAGAAATTGTTAAATAGAAGGTATTTTAATAAAAATGATAACAAGATTTATTTGTGGTACTTATACAAGGCTTAAATACATTTTATGAAGTATTCTTTGTGGAAAGAAATCTATAACCTCAATGATATTATGAAATGAAAATGTCATGCCCTCATTTCAAACTACGTACATAAACAACTTAAAGAGATTTTTTTCTTCTTATTCATGCACTATATTTATATAAATTCATATTAATTATATCAACATGTTAAGATACAAGCAATTGTTACTAATATGACAAAGGAAATGTATGATTTTAGTGAGCAGACGCACACATCAGCTAATTCTCCTTCTGTCAAATATTCTTAAGTACTCATACATTGATAGAGTTTCACTGTTTGACCATGATCTGTTTTATAAAAATGCTTGTATTTAATTCCAGACTTCCTACTCACATTCTTCGAAGCTTTTTATATGGTGAGAAAGCTCCAGGAGGGATGACCTTGATTGAATTCTGCTCCAACCGTCTGTAAAGAAAAACAATACCATGAAAATACAAAAATGTAATGCCAAAGAGCAATCTAAAAAATATACAAATTATATGTGAATAAAGTATAGAAGTATTTTAATAAACATGGGTGTTAACTTTTATTTTTGCCAGGGGGGCCCTAAGATGATGCCCCCCTTTCCCCACTGGCATGGCTGGAGCAGAGCTGAGTGAAGCCCATGCAGGGGTGGGAGTAGATGCAGGCTACTCACAGCAGGCTCAGGGCTTCCCACCCTGCTGCCCAGCCCCCAGGAGCCCTGTGCTCACCATGCCACCATGGCAAGGCACCCCCTGCCCTCCTGGCAGCAGTGGGGGACACAACTCTGTGCACCGCCCCTGTTGCTGCCAGGCATGCAGGTGGTACCTCAACATGGTGGCATACTGGCATGGGGCTTCTGTGGGGAGGGCAGTAGGGCATGGAACCCTCAGAGGGAAGCCTGCATCTGTCTCTACCCTGTGCACAAATCTGGGTACATGTGCCCCTGCCCCCTGGCTCCCTCCCCAAAGTGTGCACAGTGGCAGGGAGCCACCCCCACTGACAAGCTGCCTGTGGCTCTCCCACTCCCTGGCCTTGGGTCCCATTCACTGTCCTGGTTGGGCAGTGCCCTCAGGCCCAGCCCCTGCCCCACTCCCTCCCTCAGCGTGGAAGCCTCAATCTGCCCCCCCAATAGATTTACCTGCAGACAGCTGGGGGAGCTGCTCTCCACCACTGCCTAGGACTGTATGTGGCATTCCCTGCATCATGCTTCCTGCAGACCCTTGCAGGTTAGAACTCTGCCAGCCTACAAGGGGAAACCCACCATTTCCCATGTTCTTCCACTATAAATGGGAAACCTGGGTCCCTGCATGATATTGGGAATCTGGGACAAATGGTGTCCTGGAGTCATGCAGCCAGAGACCAGGACTTGATATTCCCATTTTGGGACTGTCCTGCCCAATAAGAGACAGGAATTCCCCCTACCCTCTTCCTGAGGGAGGCCAGGGCCCTTAGGCCCACGTACTCAGTGCTTATGAGAACAACACAGGCAGTTTGCAAAAAATATTATTGTATGAATATTCTTCTATGAGTTTATGCAAAGTTTATAATAGTTTTCATATTTTTTTCAGTAAAAACATGTTCTCTTGACCTTTAGAGTAAGTAGAGAGCATCAACCCCCCCCCCCCCGAGGCTAAATTGATTTAATCTTTGTAGGTTAAGATGCACAGATTGAACTGATAATTAAGTGAACAGACATTCACTTTGGACTCTGGAAATGCAGCTACATGCCTGCAGTGGGCCAAGCCAGAAAATAGGGGATGCTAGGGCCTGCCTCCTTGTTCTGCTAGAGAAGAAAACTGAAATCTGGAGGGGATCCGGGACAGACGTTCAATAAACCGATTTAACCTAAATCAGTTAAGTCTGATACTACATTTATCCAGGTTTATCTTAAACCAGTTTTGGTCATTTTGAAAGTGGTTTATGTGCACTGAACTTCTGTTGCATTACAGATCTGAACTGGTTTCCAATCACTTATCAATTTCTGTCTCTAGCCTTAAAGTTATGAGTAATATCTAATCTGGATTTCTATACACCATATCAACAAGACATTTTTGTGCAAAACAAACAAGGAATTTAACCAAACACTAGAGTTTTTTTTTATACATGCAAGTTATCTTTACTGGTTTTGCACTTTGATGATACTTTAAATATTTGCCAAGAATGCACCAGCTGCATTCATAAAAGATGTATATAAAGAGAGACATTCATATACCTTGTTGGAAAGAAGTTGGACAAGAATGGTAGCACTGGAACACTAACAAATGCTAATCCTTGCAACGGATTGTGGTTTTACATGTGCATGACAATTTCTTTCAGTACATTAGGAAAAAAACTACGATTTTTTCCCCCTATTTTTTTTCAAGAATTAATAAATATCTCTGTAGTTAGCAGTAAGAATTTAACATTGCTTAGTAGATAATGTCTGGGATAATGGAAGGACCTTTTGCAGTGCTCATGAGAATCTGTTCAGATCTGTTGGGTTACTTACAAACCACTGAAAAGCTCCGTTCTTTATTCATCTTTTCCTCAGTAGAGGTTCCTGGCCTACTTCAAGGAAATAAAACCCCATTCATTCTATGAGCATTGTGTAGGATCTTATGCCAGCAAGCTAACAGACCGATTCCAGACAAGACACAAATAAGAGGTCCCTCTCCTATTGCTGCTCCCATACACAGAAATACCCTTTTTGCTCAGAGGCTTACAAAAGTCTTAGGATGCAAAAATCTAGTTTTACTTTAAAAAATAATAATAATTGGTGTTAATAATTCAGTACTCAGTTCTTGAGTAAGTCCTCCTACCCATTGAAAAGTAACGCAAACTAAAAACAAAACCCAGAGAAGGCTATATATTTGATACGTAATGGAACTGTATTATTACATGGTGGTGGGTGAAGGGGGGGGCGGAAATCTCATCTTAGATTCAAATACTAGCCCAGGGCAGGTGGCAGCTTAGCTCCCCCACCCCAACAGCCTGCCCCTACCCGCCCTGCTTACTTTCTGCTCTGGCTCTAGCCCCTTTAGCTCTGAGGTGGCACAGCCTAGAACTGTTGCTACTTCTTTTTTGCCTGGCCACCAGGACTGGAGCCAGGCTGAGGCTGCCAGCCCTGCCTGCCCTAGAGGAGTAGTAGAGCAGTGCAAGAGATGGCAAGCAGTAGGGAGAGGGGGATCAGGGGCAGGGAGGGAGTGCAGAAGGTAGGGAGCTTGGAAGAAGTGGGCAGGCTGGAGTCCAAAGTATAGGATGTGGGGCAGGGTCAGGCACAGGGGGCAAAGGAAGGGGGGAAGGTAGCAGAAGGGGGCACAGAGGGTGAGGAGAATGGAGCTGAGGGCAAGAATGGACATGGGGGACAAGAGGCACAGGGACATGTGGCAGGGGGTCAGGCATAGGCATGTGGGGGGGCGGACAGAAGGCAGGCAGCCAGTGGGCAGCATTGTAGGGAGGGCAAAAGGGCAAGGGATGGGGTTCTGGGCCCTCTCTTCCCACTGCTGCTTTCTCTGCCATAGTAGTGGGAGGGATAAATGTAATTAGATTCTGTTTAAATTCTATACATGGAAAATCATAACACATTTATTATTTTCCATGTATCGAATCTAATTATTGGGGGGGGTCATCTTAAATACAAAGTTATCTTGGATTCGGGTAAATATGGTACATTCAGAATTCCTTTGTCTCACAGCGCCTTATCCCACAAAACACAGAGTTCTTTTAAAAGACAATCATATCAGTTTGTCCTAATATGTATTAATTGGCATTTGTAACACCGAATTACATCTTCTATCCTGCTAAAAGTTCTTTTTCCTTCTTAGGTCTCAGAAATTCCTCAGTCCTCTCCAATTGTAATTGCATGTCATCTGCTTATTTTGCCATTTTACTTCTCAAGTCCTTTTTTGACCGTTAATAAGCATTTTAAACATTGTCTGGAATCTTTTGGCACCAGACTAAACCTTTAGCAACTGTGAAAATTTAACCACTGCGAAAAGTGTTCCTATTTTTTGCACTCTGTCAGACAGCCTTATGTAAAATATTTTGCTTCTCAGTTTAGGACTAGTAGGCAAGTTAAGAGGACACATGATTACTTTTCCCTACAGAGAGATAAGAGTAAAGAATACAGGTGAATATGACAAATTTTAGCTAGATGTCAAGGCCAATACTGGTCATAAAACAAATAGGTACTAACAGCTCTTGAATATATTAGGTTGAAACTTAGGTTTCTAATCATTGGAGCTGGGAGGTTCTGAAGCAGCCTCTCAACAGGACTGGGGAGAGGGCAGGGGCAGGGGCAAGGCGAGGGGAAAAACTGGTTTCAGGATGGAACTTGATAAGTTTATGAAAGGGATTAGACCATGTGGTTGCCTGTGACAGCTGTGGATTGGGTCACCCAGGAGGGTCCTTTCCAGGCCAATATCCTATACTTAATTTTCTTAATAACTTCTTGTGATACCATTTGATAAAGGTTTTAATATGATGTGTGAACAGATTTTTGCATGTCCACGTCTGCTTCACATCTGTCTCACTGATCCATAGAGGGCATGAATCTGTTAAATCTCAGCTACACTTACTGGCTCTTTAGCTCATGCAGTAAAAAAAACCCAACCTTTTTATGCACGAGGTCCTCAGCTTACTCCCTATCTATCCTCACGAAATCAATGAACTTATCTGAGTGGATGTGACAAAGCATCTAAGTCCAACAAAATGACATGAGGGGCCTCATGCCATTCAGATATTTAACTTAACTGGATATTCAATGTCTTGCTTGCTTTTTTATCTTTTGAAAATTCTTTATACATACAGTAGTTACTTGTGGTTTAATGTACTTGTAATTTGCTAACATACAAGTATGATATATTAAATTTACCACTGCTCAATTGTGTCTGCAAAACATGCAGATACAAAAACAGAAAAAGTTCTACAACTGATGGTGTATTTTTGAAAGGCATTTTTCAGCAGTTCTAATAAAATGAACTACCAAGTTACAAGTAGATATAACAAAATGAGCTCCATGTCAACTTAACTTAAGGCTTCATTTCAGTGAAAAATTTACCGTCTGATAGATTCTGTGTGTGGCACCGGGATAAACTTACAAGCACTCCCGGATAAAGGATTTGTTATAGTAGGATCATCTAAATATGCCTTTTATTAGCTCAAACCAATGTGTACACACTAAAACACATCACATTTCAGAAGAAAGGTTGGTACAAAAGACAAAAAAAAATCTTAAATCAGATTATATAAATACAGAAGAAAAAATCTTGTATGCCCCACTTTGTCCATAAAGAAACCAGATCAAATTCTTGTTTTCAAGCTTTATCTTCTAATCTTCTGCTTTATCTGCCTAGAATCAGCTGAATTTCACAGAGTGCAAATTTGCATCCATCCTTCCATGAAAAATCTAATTAGATACATTCCAGGGTCACAAAGCCCAGACAGAGTAATATCTAAAGGAA